AGACGAGGGTGCTATAACATTGCACACCTCTAGTTGCTAACTCAGAAGGCTGAGAGGCACCTCAGTGGGTTTTGCAAGAACTTGTCTCATCACTGCACTTCACCTAGAAAAATAAAGTGAATATTACGTGACCAGCACTATGAAGGCAACAAGCTCTCTGCTACCACTGGTATCTAGTGACTCCAGTCCAATACTTCATCTTCCACTGAGAAATATTTCCCTTGAAATCTACAGCCAACTAAATATGGACTTGTGTCTAGTGCAGCATTTCACAGCTTTTTCTAGCTGATGAAGGAAAAACCTTCACAACTCCCTTGCATTTACTATAAAAAGCAGGAAAAAATAGAGGTAGCACAATAATGATATAAAGTTGGTGGTATAGGTTTATGGAGACCATTTGTTCTCGGAAGGCAAAAATATTACTTATATCAACACAGTGCCCAAGAAATCACCGGCACAGACCAGATCCCCCTTGTCTACCCATTAAATATCCACTGCTTTGTTTACAGGCAGCAGAGGTGAAATGTGTTACAAGTCATCAAGGAAATGCATCGGGAAGGTGTAAACGAGCCTCCAGCCAGCCCAGGGACTTCCGAGTTTTGCATGGGAAGTGCCAGCTTCTGTGCAAGGTACAGAACGCTCCTTCGCATCACCCAAAGAGAAAATCTTTGCCTATTGCCACCTAGTTTATATCCTTGATACTGCAGCAGGCTCCACCTGGTTTTCCACACACAATCTTAGAAGCATATATGGGAAAAGACTGCTTTCACAGCAGGATGAAGCCTCTAGTATTTGAAGGTGGTGGCTTTCACTTTGCGCCAGGCACCTGCTTATGGAGAGGGTGTTACATGATCTTTTCTTTTCAGCCTATACCCGGATGGTAACCTAGATGTTTGTTTAAAAAAACCTTTTGAAAAGGAACATTACACCTTCTGGTAAGCTGAAGCTGAACCCAGGAAGATGTGTGCATTTCAGAGAGACGACCCCTAACCATAACCAACACAGGGGCAGGGAGTTGCCCATGACAAGAGGAAGTTGGGGTGTACCAAAGTGACCAACTCCATAGGTAGCCACAGATAGGCAGGGCATCGCATCACTGGACTCTGCTCCTCTTCCAGGTTTATTTGTGGGTTTTCCTATATTGCAAAACCACTGCAGGTGTTGGGTGAGAGAAGATCATTCCAGGGGTCAACAATGTAGTTGCACATTTTCAGAGCTAAAAAAAGCTCTAGTCACTGCTCTCATTTTAACCTATCCATAGTTCAAAGCCTTATTCCTCCTGGGTATAGATGCTAATGCTTAGTGTGGGAATAGTGTTGACAAAAAAAGACCCTACAAAGGACTAAAGCGGGTGGGGGCTTATTTCAGCAAAATATTTCCAGAAAGAAAGGAATGCACCACCCAAAAGGAACTGCCAGTGGTCATAAAATCTGTGACCCGTTTCCGTCCATGTTTGCCTCATGGTCACAACAGTCCCCGCATCTCTGCAGCAGCTCTTTAGATTCAGCGATCCTGATGGGCAACTTGCCAGGAGGCTTAAAAAAATGGCAGTGCTGTGATTTCCCAGGCAATCACACACACACTTGGGCATGAGCAGTTGGCTGTCTGCACAAGGCAGCAGCATCTATGGCAGCAGCAAACCTCCCTGAATTCTGCACTGGATTTGGGGTCCTTGGGCGAGGTTCACATGAACCAAAGGGCAGACTGACTCAGAAGTGCTTGGGCAGGTTGGTAAGATTCTAGGGATCCAAAAGACCCATAAGAGAAATAGCCAAAACAGCTCCCAGATGCCTTCTTCTCTTCCCACCTGGAAGAAGTTGGGGGCCACTATCTTAAGGCTTCACTGAGATGAATCAAGCTAAAGCACCCAACTCCATCCCACTTCCAACTGAAATAACCTTCAAGGCCTGAATTCCAGCAAGCCACTCAGGATCTAGGGCTCTGCTCCACAATCCTTTCCTACTGGGATAATCCTAGGACTTCCAGCAGAGACCACTTTCTCGTGGTCTCTACCACAGCCAAATGCAGGACCACAATCTACTAGGCGATGGGAGAGACTAGAACAGAAAAGGAAAAAAAAAAAAGGTCTATGTCGAGTGGATGAACATGCCTTGATACTTGAGCAGTACAGTTCAACAGGTCACATCTTGGGACAGGTCAGATAGACCAGCTCACCATCATGAAGCCCAGCTGTTAGAAGCCCACCTCCTCCCCTCCCAACAAGACAAACATAACATTTGAAAATTTGCCTTGTGGCTTGGGTGTGGGGGTTTTGAGCCTTTAGGGTTCATAGTTCTATGCTCTTTTCTGCAGCCAGTCTAGCAGGAAATTTACTTTTTAAAAGAGCTGATTTGCATGTTATCACATGGCCCCAGCAACAAGACTTGAACAAACACCATATGTCTGCTACAAGTCAAGAACATTGACAAATTGACACAGTGCATTTGTACATATTCCAGCTACTACCTCTCCCCCCAGACAATCCTGGTAGCATCCTTATGAACCAAATGGGCCAAGATCTCTGTTTTAGCTAACACTTCCGGCTGCCAAAGTAGCACGTGTTTTTGTAAAGCTGGGTCAGGACTGAAAATAGAAACCAGCTAAAATAGATTGCTTGCCCATCCCTGAAACAGATAAGTTAAAGCAAAGAGAAAGGTGGTGGTGGTAGCAGTAGAGGAGAAGGACAAATGCTTCTTCCTTGAATTCATTTCTAATAGGAGACAGACAGAGATCAGAGCTCCCAGTCCAGCTAGAAGAAACTATTACCCCCTACTTGAACCCTCCTGTCTTCCAGACTGCCTATACTCCATCTCCAGCTCTGATGATGGCAGCAGCTGGTGGAGAAGAGTTAAAGCCAGCTCCTGCCTGCCCCTTGTTTGCCATGGGAAGAGAGAAATGACTTACATTTCCTAGGCCCAAATCCTCACACCTGAAGAACACCCCATCCTAACAGGATAAAGGAATCTCATCCAATTATAAAGAAAGATGCAACAGTCAGTAGCAACTTTGTGCCAAAAGTGTCCATGTTAGGGCTATGGCTCTGCCAGAAAAACAGGAACAGTATCGAGAAGCATACGGGGAAGAGAGCTCCTTTAAGAGGCCACCATTGCACTGAAGCTGGCAGGAGCCACACCTCAGTGACCACCTGGCCTCTACATGTATCAGCACAGTCTGCTTTCCTCCAAGTGTGTCAGATTACCTTGCAAAGTGCAAGCCTTCCCAGAAGAGCACTGTAGGCATTCGTGTGATTCAGAGAGACTTATATCAAAGCAGAAGAACAGTACAAGAAAGGAGAGAACAGGTAGGATTGGTTTTTATTAGGAATATAGACTACTTACCTATGTTGCATATGCAAGGAGGGAGACAAATGTACATAGGTTGCAGGCCCTTCATTGGGCTACATATATCATACAAAGTTGAGACACAAGAACGCCCAGGTAAGTTTATTAAATGACAAAGGTGCAGGTTACAGGCCCACATGTGCACAGTGAGCAAGACTCTCAATGCCTTTAGTTTCGGTGCTGGACAGACCTTTGAGGTGGCATTAGGAACACAAGGTTGGCTGGACCTTCCTGCACCAAGGAATGAAACCTTGCCACGGATCTGACCTTCAGACGGAAAGAGTTGATCTACTCAAACCCAGAGATGCGATCAACATACCTGGAAGAGCTTTTCTCTCTTGAGCTCAAGTACCAATGACAGCACAATCAATTTAAAAAAAACTCTCCAAGCTGCCTGCTGGAAAAAGAGGTGGCATTTGCTTATTATGTTGCTTCAAGTCTAATACCTTCTGGAGCTGCTTTCACCACCTGGCGAACTCATAGCTGATGAGACTCCTTGCTGTTATGGAGAGCTTCTCAACAGAAAAAAAAAAACAGGTGAAATGGTGTGGCTTGTGCTGTTCTGTTCCCAGTTAGGAGACGTCCGTGTTGTCTCCTATTAAAATACATCTATCTTTCTCCTGCACTGTCAGGGAAGTTCTCATAGCTGCTCCTGGCCCAGCAGTTTGATGAGCTCTCCCTTCCTCCTTCCCACGCACTTATTTTCAGTGACGTCTGGAAACACCAACTGATCCTCCTGCCATTAACACGTCATTTAGCATTTGCTCCATTTTGGAGGAACGAGGGAATGGATAAGAACCAAGTCGCAATGAATTTCCTGACTAGTAGTATGCTGTTCAGCCTAGAGAAACAAACAGGGA